CTGCCTGAGCCAGTCGTCGAGCTCCGCCCGAGCCCCGCGGCCTGACTTGTACAGGCGCGAGAGGACGCTCGGCGCAACCCGAGTCTGCACACCTCCCACTCTGCCTCCGTCCACCTCGGGCTTCGTGAAGACCCGATCCTTACCCCTGACGTTCACGATCTGGACGCGCAGCGTCGGGTCCGCGCACGGCCAGACCGTGCTGTTCGACCTCCCCACCTTGCTGATGAGGAGCATCACGCTCCCCGAGTTGCTGCCCTTCTTCAGGTAGATCCTGTTCCACCTCGCCCACGGCGCCATGACGACCGCCGCCTTGGTCCCTGGGATCACGATCTCGTCAGCGTCCTCGTAGTCTCCGCCGTACGGCACAAACTGCTCGTCGGCCTCGGCTCCCCAGATGAGCGGACGGCCCTCGTCGGCGAGGTCGGGCGCGATCCAGCCGACCGCGCAGGCCCCGAGGTACCACCAGGCTCTCGTGGTGGCACAATCGCGGCCCCCCGCGCGGGATGGCCAGGCCGTCGGGCGACGCCCGACACGTGCAATCTGTCAGAACGGAACGGCTCCGCAGAAGGTCCTTGGGGACCTCAACCGCATGGAGCCGAAATCTTGAGGACGGCAGAGCCGAGGGAGGACAGAAGGACGAGAACGAGGAAGGACAAGAGAGGACGGCACGAGGGGGGGAACTGGCAGTATAAAAGAGCGTTATAATAACATTTAAGCCGCCAGACCGCCACCCAGGCCCGGACGACGGGCGGCGACGGGGCGGTCACGGCGGCAACAAAATAGCCGCCAGACCGACACCCAGGCCCAGAGGACGGGCGGCGACGAGGTGGCGACGGGGCGGCGACGGCAGCACTATAGCCGCCAGACCGCCACTCAGGCCCAGTTCCTTAGACCACAAGTAAGACCCCGAAGTGCAAGCACAGCTCGGGGAATCGTACACTATACGCTCCGTGGTGGGCGCTTTCTCGCCAGACCGCTCGGGAGCGATATGCTAGAATACTGTTGTACTAGATGCTCGGGTCGGAAGTGCGCCTTCAACAGGAGCGCCCGGTACTGATATGTCCCTCTGCGTCCCATCGACCATCCTCCCCCTGATGCACTCCCTGTGCCAGAGCTGCTCGCCACTGGGCCTGAGGCTGCAGTCCTCCATGCTGGAGTCGGGCGCGGACTGGCCAGCGATGGCCAGCTCCGCGTGGGCGCTGGACAAGATTTCGACTGGCTGGGATCACAGTCGGGGGCGCCGCGGTCGGCGTTCTGGGGGCCGGGGCCCCAGGACTCTCGTGTCCCCCGCTCCCTCCAGGCCTCCCAGATAGGGTCCGAGCAGGTGGGGTCGGAAGGAGGCATCCACTTGTGCCGGAGTGGCTACGGGAGGAGGCACGAGGGGGAGGGGGCGGGAGGACGACGGGGGGATGGAGGGCGGAGGAGAGAGGGATCCCAGGGAAGGATTTCAGCTAAGTGATGCTACCACGTGACTCGACGAGGGAGGCGACCCCAACTGACATTACCAGAGGGCGACCCTGGCAGGCATCACCAGTCGTCAACACATGATACCGCATCTCACTCCACGTCTCGCGGCAAGATGCCTCTGCCGACCCCCGAGATAGCCCAAGAGGGCCCCAGGAGAGCCCCACGAGGGCTCCAAAAGGCTTCCGGCAGGAAAGGAATTCGAAGAGGCGTTTGAAGGCCAGAAGTCATGCCGGAAGGAAGTTCGAAGAGACTAGAAATACCCGATGTGGAGTCTTCATTCGAGGTGTTTGATTGCATGTCACAGGGCTTTTGGCCCGCAAGCACGCTGGCGATTTCGGGTGTAGGGGGACCCGCGTCCAAAGCGCGAGGAGAAAGCAAGGCCCCCGGCAGTGAGGGGGAAGGAGGGAGTCGGGGCTCAAGAGACGGGGGTCAATACAAACGGGGGTCAGTCAGAGCGCCCGATCTTGCAGGATCCTGCAGGGCCAGGATCGCATTGACCAGTGTTTGGGTGCAGGATCCTGCAGGATCTTGCATGGTCCTTCGCACAGACCTAGGTTTGGGCGCAGGATCTTGCAGGGTCTTGCAGGATTCTGCAAGGCTTGACTGACCCAGGTCTGGATTGACCCGGGTCAGAAGATCCCCGAGGGAGGTGTGCCTCTCTTCTCCGACCTTGCATTTCCTTCGCGATGTCGGCCCCCCAGGAATCTCGGCCACTCCCCGGGGGGCCCGACGTCCACCCCCAGAGCCTGTGCTTCACGAGCGGCTTCCAGGGGCAGAAAAAGCTGCGAAGAACAAGCCGTCGCGATTTTCGCGCGCCGCCCAGATCTGAAGGGAGGGAGGGCTCCCCGTTTCCTCCCCCCCTTCCCCTCTTGCCCCCCCCCCCCCCCCTCCGCCCCCCGCTCCCCTCCTTGCGCGTGCAGGACGCTCCCGAGGGCGGCTGGCTTTGCCCGCGCGCGGGCGGCGTCGGCGGAGCCCGCGCCCCCCAGCCCGCGCGCCGCCCAGCCTCATCATCACCAGCAGCAGCATCATCATCACCACCACCACCATCATCATCATCATCACCAGCATCAGCATCATCATCACCACCACCACCATCATCATCATCACCATCATCATCATCATCATCAGCATCATCGTCATCATCATCATTGTTGTTTCGTTCCACAATGAGTTGGTTCTGGGCTTCTAGTTGGGCATGGATGCTTCACCAACTGAGAAGTGGCCCCGCACCAGAGCAGCCGAGCAAACATATTGAGGTGGCTGTCGCAGCCATCGTTCTGGTTGGTAGCAGAAAGATACTCAATTCAAGGTCGATGAGTATACCGACTTGCAGCGGCCGTTGACTCATTCACCCCGCCTATGTTTTGCCCATCCTGTCCTTTCACTACATATTGTAGTCAGCAGCGTTGCTGGGACATTTATATGAACCTGTACCGTGTACCCTCTCTTCTACGAGTTTGCTTGTACAGCGCACTCGTGAAACGCGATTGGGCAGTGCATCCTGGTGTGTCGGGCTGAGTACCTTCTCCTCCAGAGTGCGTCTGTACCGTGTACTTTGGGCACGTGATTGGGCCAGTGCGATACCATATTTGGTTTGGCGCTACGCTTTGTGTGCTCATCGGCCCGCAACTTTTTTCGATGCCCACGACGGTGAGATGGCCTCGTCCTACCCTGCGCAGCGCCTGGGATCGGCACGTTGTCCAGCCGATACTGAGGCACCTTTTTTCCCATCCAGGCGATGGTCCTTCTTCTGTTGTTGTCCAGTGGGTATGCTCAAGGGTCATCATGAATGACGTTCCTGCCTTGTGCGAGGCTCTGTATCATATCTTGTAGGAGATTGTTCCAGATCATGTGCGGGTTGGTCGGTATGGTCGCGCGGGTAATATGGTTCTTGCTCTTCTCGCGCACGGCGCGGCACCAGCCCAGCTCCGCGCTGCACTATTAGCGCCTAAATGTCCGCAGTGGGCGAGGTGTGTATTAATGGCGTTGCCAAGTGAGACGATTTTCTTGGTTAAGTCTGGCACCCTTGAGCGGTTTCAGTCTCATCGGCAGACATTGCTACAATCGACAGGGTCTGCAGTGCAGTATAGGTTCTATTTGGACACCGTGGCTTGCACATTGGCAGGGTCAACGTTGATCGGGCTAAAAGACGACCAGGTATCCCTGAGCGTTGCGCTGAGCAGTACAAGGCTCTCCTTGGTTTTGATTAGCGACGAGATTATGAGTTTCCGCGCTGCGCATCACTTCGGAAGGCTGTTGGTAGCATTGGTTGCATGCCTGTTGTCTGGCGCCCTATGGAAGTACAGGCGTTGATTGTTGAGAGAGCGCTCGTTCAAACGTTACGCCCTGGCTGCAATGATGCTGACTTTCGATGTCTTCAGAATGTTTGGCGTCGCGGTTTTCGCATGCGTCCTGACCGAACTGAGCCGCGGGCGAGGTCCTTTCCTCGTTCTCGTTCCAAGGCCACAGGTTCGGCGTGGGCAGCAACCATTTTTCTTGATGTTTTGCGGGAGAAGCCAGCACGTCCACCTACGCACCCGTCAAAGACCCGAGGTAGTTGCAAGCAGTTGCGCCCGTTCCATCTGCGCGGTAGGATTCTTTCGTCCGGTATGTTTGGACCATTGACTTGTTGGATCGCAACCCTCTCTACCGGAACATGGCGTTGGCATTTTGTGATTCGAATGTTTGTATCAAGTTCCTTGAGTCGTGCTTTCCGCGGCAACAGGCCGAGTATGTTTATGAACTCGTTGGTCATATCAAGATCCGCACGGGTGGTTTCTCATCCCAGTTTGCAGCAAAGCCGTTCCTGAATGAATTGTGTCAACGTCTTAGCTTGCCGCCTTTTACGGTCGAGCCCATTGTCTTACCTCGCGAACTCGTTCGACGTCTGCGCCTGCTTCGCAGGCTGTTTCAGCTTGCCCTGCAAGAAGTTCGTTCTGAACCTGCTCGTCGGTGGCTTTGTGATCATCTGAATGTTCTGCCAGCGAAAGGTATTGTTTGGTCCGACAAGTTCAACGTCGAGCGCGTTCCACGGGGCTCTGCCACGCGGACTTCAGCTGCGCGCCACCCGAAGTCAGCGGTCTGAGGGCAGTTCAACCGTCGCTGGCGGCGCACCTTGGGTCATGGATGTTACCGGCGTGGCCCTCCCTTCCACGTCTTCGGCGGGCGTTACAAAGCGCGTGGCAGGCGTGGAGTCGTCGGCGTCGACTGCATCCTCGTGCCCAGCGGCGCATTCGTCGCGCTCTGGGCTCGGAGGTTCAAGCTCTGCCTGTTCCAGCGCGCCCTGGGCCATGGGTGGAGTTGGAAGTCCGTTTTCGGGAGAACGTTCGCTTGCGTGGCGTTCTGGCGTGGGGCGACGAGGACTCCACAGAAGCATGGGTCATTGGGCGCGGCGCGGTTGGCCCCTGCATAGCCCGCCATATGGTGGCGGACGCGAGCTCGTGGCGGTATCATCCAGCACTACGCCCTCGCGATGTTCTAGCCTGGCATGACATTCGCGGCCAGGTGGGCCCCCCCGAGTTCCTGGCCCACAGGTGGGGTTTCATGCGCCAGGCCGCCTCGCCGCCCACGCTCTTTCCCTTTGCCAAGTCGAAGTGCTTCTCGGACTGTGGCGATCGGAAGCGCGGCCGTCCGACGCACTCGTGCATGCCCAGAATTATTGACATGCCGTATATTCTCTTCGCGGGGCCCTGGAAAGTCATCGGTCGGGCGACGCGCGTTGCGCTGGGAATCCCAGGCGCAGGGCGCGAGATCCCGAGCATCAGCGACGTCGGCAGGGCTCTGAGGCAGGACCTGCAGTCACTGGCGGCACCTGCCCCTGATGGGTGCTGCATGCGCTGCGACTGCCAGTTGCGCGGCTGCCTCCGGGTCTCGACTCTCGATATGGACCGGGCGTTTGAGAGTTGTCGCACTGAAACTGCGCTGCCCGCGTGGTGGCGGTTAGAGTCTTAGTTCCGCGCAGTCGCAGGCGTTGGCGCCATCGCGACTGCGAAAGGCAAGCGGTGCAAGGTCATGGCCGCCACTCGTTCCTGGAGTCGCGCCTGGCGGGCCCCACCCCTGGAGGCCATGAGGAGAGCCCTTCTACAACCAGGTCATGCCTGTAGTTTTGTCGTGGTCGGGAACCTGGTCTTTGAGCTTATGGGGTCGTGCATTGGGGGACTTATCAGTAGTGCTGCAGTCTCTGTTCGTTTTGCGCATGAAGAATTCCTGATGCTGGATAATATTGCGAAGTTTAGGCTCTTGGTTTCCGTTCGGGCCCACCAATAGAAGCAGCTCTGAAATGGCGTAGGTGCGCGGGTGACCCCATGTCCTTCAGTCTCTGTTAGCGCCCCGTCTGTGAAGGTGTTTTCGGTAAATATGTTGTCTGAATCTGTATCTGTTGAATTTCAGTCCACGGGGTGTCCGACGCGATAGTATTATGGACGTCTCGTTCTTCATGGCGACGCATGTGGGCGGGTGAGTCTGGCGCCACTTAGCTGGATTCTTCAAAATCAACAACGCCCCTGGGTCCACGGGGCCTCGGAGCGCCAACGTGGCGTCGTTATCCCTCGGCCGGGTCGTCCACCATGTTCGTTCGCGCGTGTTCGAGCCCCGCTGCTCAGTAAGCTGGCGTCTGCTCGCTCGGCTTGCTTATCTCGGGCTCTGATGTCGCTCATCGTCGTGGAGCGCGCTCTCGAGCTTCTGGAGCTTGGGTATCCCATGGCTTGCATCACCAAGTTCATTGTATCCTTGCCGCCGTCGCCATTTGTGCTCAGTGCTCCTCGATTGTGGCTTCCCCAAGTACGGCGCCATGTTCATGTTCGGCTTCGGTGGCCCTGAGCCACGTGCAACGGAGACGTCAGGGGCGATGGCGGTAGGAGCCTTGGCATGGTTTCTGGCAAAAGGATACGGCTACGGTGGCTCGCCCTACGCGCAGCCTCGTGGATGGAATGATCGTCGTGACCGCCGCGGTGACCCTGGGGGTCGCGGTGATGATCGCGGTCGCTGGGGCCGTGCTCGCGACTGCCGTCGCTGCGGAGACTCGCCTGGCTCGGAGGAGGTTCCGCCTCCTTGCCCTGCGGCGCCCGCAGCGCTCGAGAGCGGGGGCAGGTGGTGTCGCGCGACGAGGACTACATGCGCCAGGGTGAGATTTTGGCGACCTGTTGTGGGCCCCCGGCTGAACCGGGCTCTCTTTGCGATCGCGGTTCCAGCAGGTCCGAGCGAGGGTTTCTCAGCGGGCTCATCCTCGCTATCAGCCCCCCCTCCTCAGCCGCCGCCGCATGCCCGTGCCATGGGCGGCCAGGTCGTGGATGGTGTTCTTTCGGCATCGCCGAAGTGCATCATCAAAACAACGCGGGGTGCCACATGCAAGTTTGTGACAGGCGTTTTCCAGGAGGTACGCGAGTTTCTCATCAGGTCGTGGTCGTCGAATCTTGGTACTGTCAAACAGCTCAATGCGTTTCTCAAGCGCAAATGCGAGGGCGTGCCCCCCCGCGCCAAGGAGGATATGATCCAGTGCTTCTGGGGCGTTCTCCGGCAGCTGGGATGAGTAGAAGATACAGGGTTCCCTGGAGATCTGGAGTCCGACGCTGAGTAGGTTGTTTGTCTTTATTGTCGTCGGCAGTGACATCAGTCAGGCTCTGTTTTGGGATCCCTCCATATTGCCTTTTCAGTAGTGTGCTCAGTGTTCCTGATCGGCGTCCCGTACGGATGCCTTCTCAAGCCGTTCATTGTTTCATGCCGCCCGTTGGGGCTTGCGCGCCATCTATGGGTGAGTTCACCCGCATTGTTTTGCCAGAGGTTGTACGTGCAGGCCGTCGCCGCGCGTGCGACTTGTCTGGCCCCATTGATGTCAGCTCCCGCTCAGCATGGTGGGTCGTAATTTCTGCTTCGTTCCGCAGGCGAGTTGGCTCTGGGCGTCTAGTTGGGCATGGGTGCTTATCCAACTGAGAAATGGCCCCGCAGCAGAGCAGCCGAGCATACATATTGAGGTGGCTGCCGCAGCCATCGTACTGGATTGTAGCAGAAACGTAATCATCAGCATCATCATTGCCAGTTTCATCATCGGCCTCAGCTTCATCATCATCATCATCATCATCAACATCATGATCAGCTCATCATCATCATCATCATCACCATCATCGTTATCATCGTCATCGGCATCGTCATCACCAGCCTCAGCTTCAGTCTCAGCTTCATCATCATCACCACCATCATCATCACCATCATCACCGTCACCACCATCATCACCATCACCCTCACCACATTTAGGGCGGATTTCAGCCGCCGAACAGGTGCCGAACCCCACGTGAAGAGATCCAACATGAAATTCGACAAGACGAACACCATATCACAACCGGTTTAACCAGCGCCCCCGATGCGCTTGGAAGGCAGTTCGGGAGGGCACTTCGGA